GACCTTGTTCAAAACAAACAATCATCAACAACAAAACCAAAGGAATGAATGAATAAATAAATGACACAATAAAAATAGTAAAAAATCCAACACTTTCAAGAAATACATTTACCCAGAATACATACTTTCAAGCAATGTATCTAGGCATCCTGCAGCCAGAGACATTTACTTTTGAGAGTCACAACTTCCCAACAATTGTCGTATCCATAAAAAAAAAAAGTACAACTAATATTAAAAACATATAAAAAATATCTTGATATTCAATAGTTACTACTTGTTTGAGATAAGAATGATTCCAAGTTGTACATGGTATCAGCAAAACAATTATTTCATCTAAAAATAAAACATAGCCAGAAAAGGACTTTGCAGAGGCAAGTGGAAAGCAAATGGTCTGTAATTTCAGTCTGCCAAGTAAGAGTCTTCAGGCGTTTTTTTTTTTTTTTTTTTTTTTTTTTTTTTCATTTTGCTTATGCATTACTTGCAACTTCAGGCTAACACACACTATGCTTGCCATGGAGGATGTTGCACACCACGGTATTGTGACTTAAATGTGGGAGTAGAATGAGTCTCCTCTACAAACCTTCACCTACAGGCAAGTGCAGGGATGGGTTACAGGCTCGCAAGTGCTGGAACTCCAGCTCCTGGGAGGTGCAACTCCTCCTACAGCCTTCACAAGCCCTTGGATGCAAGTGTGTGTGTGTGTGTGTGTGTGTGTGTGTGTGTGTGTGTGTGTGTGTACACATGCATACACACAAACATAATAAAAGTTTCCTTTTAACAGCTGGGATTTATTTATTTTTTACTCAGGAAGTGGCACCAGTGTTTAATACTGAGTAGGAGTTCTTTCATAAGTTTTTTTTTTCAGATTACTTTTAAGTTTTCTCCTTAGGAGGTCCTTGTTTTAAGAATTTCTTCATTCTCTGGGTTGGCATTAGAATATGCATGTATATATGTACATACATACATATTCACACCCTATTGAGTCCTATTGAGTCACTTTTGCTGTGTGTCCTTTTTAAAAACATTTTTTTTAGGTTTATTTATGTCATTCATATAAGCATTTTGCCCACTATATATCTGCTTAGCATGTGTGTGCCTGGTGCCAGCAGAGGCCAGAAGAGGGTGTCAGATCCCCTGGGACTGGTGTTACAGAGGGTTGTGATCTGCTCTGTAGCTGTTGAGACTCAAACTGGAGTCCTCTTTAAGAGCAGCCAGTGTTCTTAACCACTGAGCCATCTCTCCAGCCCTTTCTGTGTTTCCATTACCTTCTTGAACACTCACATTCTCACCAATCTTCCAGGCCTTTCTATTTCTGTTCAGTAGTTTTGGTGCCAGGAATTCTCTTTTTAGACAATGTCACTTCTTTATTGTCATTTTCTTTTTCTAAACATGCATTCACCTTTTGGGGAGGGGAAGGACGGGGGAGGGGGGACAACTTAGAACTTATTAGGACCTTCCATTAGCTGTGTTCCAGACATACCACCTTCTCAGCTTCTGCTAATAAATCTTCAGTAGTGGGAATGACACCACCCTCGTCCACATACTTATGAGACTGTGATCTTTCTTGAATCTTTCACCAACCTGTTTGCTTCAAGGACTCCTCGACGTGATATTTCTGTTTTCCAGTGTGGTTAAAAAAACAAAACAAAAAAAGAAACCCTCTCCCAGGGGCTGGAGAGATGGCTCAGGTTAAGAGTACTGGCTGCTCTTCCAGAGGTCCTGAGTTCAATTCCTAGAAACCACATGGTGGCTCACAGCCATCTATAATGAGATTTGGCACTCTCTTCTGGCCTGCAGGCATACATGCAGGCAGAACACTATGTACATAATAAATCGAAAACAAAACCAAACAAAAAAACCTGTCCCAACATTCTGGGGGAGTTTATTTTCCTCCATGGCAACAGCTTCTTCCATTTCTGACAGTAAAAATGGAAACAAGGTTCCTTTGCCGCCGGTGTTTTGACTTCCTCCCAGGCATCCCCACTTAGTGGTAATTTTGGTGTGCATGTCCCCTTTTATGTCTCTTTTGCTTCAATCTTTACTCAGCTTTTCCTTCTCAACACAAGGAAAAGAACTTATCTCAAGACCTGGCCTATTTTGCCTTTTGAGATGGACTAACCTGTCTTAACTAGCAGCTGAGCTGGCCTTGAACTAATCCCTCCACTTGTTACCATCTTGATGGGGTTTCTTTTCTCTGCCAGTTAAAGAATTAAAAGTCAGGAAAACACTTAGCATGACAGGTATAGGGAAAGTCTCAAACACAGCAAACAGGAGCAGGCAGGTAAAGAAGGGCTTTTATTGGGGGTGAGGAAGCACACAGCAAACACACAACAATGAAACCCTCCACAAAGTAGAGAGGGGAGTGGAAGCCCAGACTCTTCATGAGGGCTTCTTGTCGTTTTAATTTTGTTGTAGAGCGGAGAAGTTGAAGCCCACTCTCATTGGGGACTTTTGTTGTTTTAATTTTGTTGCTGTGTTTTGAAGTCTTTGGAGGGTCTTCCTCCTGTAATTTAGGTTTGGTCAGTTTTGAGGAGAGACAGATTGGCTGATGGGCACTCACCCCTCACCAAGTGTCTTTTTGCAGCAGATAGACTATTACAGAGACACACAATTGGCTAAGATGAAGAGAGTATGTATGTGACTGTGGGCTGCCCAACCCCAGCTGATCCGTCACAGCACAGCCCTACAGGAACGGCTTAGGAAACTGCAGGAGGGTCAGAAAGATAGAAAAAGCCAGAGGCCCCCGGTTGTCCTCCGTTAGTGCTCCAAGGTATGTCATGGAACCTGTATCCACGAAATCACTATAATGTTTGCTTGAACAAGACCCACACAATGACAAAACTAGTTGAGAAGCCACAGTGTGTTGGGGTAAGGGTGGGGGTTTAAAGTTGGTCCTTGCTAGGCCTGCAAAGCCTGACTGTTCAATCCCTAGGATCACATAGTAGAGAGAACACACTCAACCATATTTGTTCTCTAACCCCCACATGCCCTGTGGCATGTGTATCCACACACACACACACACACACTAAATAGGTTTGTCTTGTTCTTGCTTCTGGTTGCTGTTAACAAAATCAAGGGGCCACTGACATTTGTCATGGCTCAGGAGGTAAGGGTACTTGCCACCAAGCCCAAAGACAGGAGTTCAATCCCTAGGACCCGAATGAGCAGAGTGATCCTCTTATCGGCCACATGCAAGCTTACAAAAAAAAAAAAAAAAATTAAAACGTCTTTTTGATAGTGATTGCCTGGAGGCCTGCTCAAGATTAGGCCTGTTTAAGTCCTAAGGATGGTAGGCAGTTGGGGAGAAAGAAAAATTCCTTAGTCTCATTATCACTGGCAAGTTGCCCAAGACCAAACCTAACACCCTAATGAAACTCAGAATCATACCACACACACACACACACACACACTGTAGATCCTAAGAGGAAGGGAATCAGGAGCAACAAGGGAGAATAACTGGGGCAAATGTAAAACACACTAAAAAAAAAAAAAAAAAAAAAAAAAAAAAAACACTGCACTCTTACTATATTCTAGTTGAAAGTACTACACACACACACACACACACACACACACACACACAGACTACATAAAGCGACTTATTTGTCCGTTGTATTCAGCCTGGCGAAGTAGTCAGTTTCCAGGATAGTTGGAAGCGAGGCTGGCCAAAGCCCTAAGGGCCCACCAGATTGTGGGCCAAACTACCTATCGGATGTGTGAGCAGATGCTGAGATGGAACCTGTTGGTGAGGACAAGAGAACGCAGACTCTGTAGGGGAGATGAATGGTGGAGTTCAACGTGTAGAAACCTGTGGTTTTTTAGGTCCATTACGGCTACCAGCTCATGAGTGCAGAGTACAGCTGGGTGTGAGGGGCAAAGTGAAGGTCCGCCATGTTTCTAAGTCTAGCTGTCACTTTCCTTCAGAGTGAAGCAGATAACATAACAAACAGGACTGGGTCACTTATGACTCGGTTCACAGAAAACGCTCATCTGGGACAGATTACTCTCTCTACCCACTACAAATCCAACTGTTTGGACATGCTGCACACGTGCACATCTTTATACCCTTATGCTCTCCTAAAATATGCAAATTATTCTTCCTCCTTGCTGTCACCTCTTCAAGCTCTGCGTGTTGCTGCCTCTATCTCCCATCTCTCTTATTGGCACTGTGATCCACCTGGATACATCTTAAGAATCGATCCGGTCCATAAGAGACTACGGGAAAGAAACCTTTCCTTATATAACATTAGATATATCCTCAAAAGGAAAAGTATTTAGAGGGGACCTTTTCTTGTCACTATCACCCAAACAACATAAATACGGCCTTGGGACTATTTCCCTTGTCTGAGGAAAACCTAGGAATGACAAGGCACTCCCACGTTAGTATAGGCTGTGGGCATGCAGGGTATCACGTATTCAGACTCATCCCTGAACGAATAGCCAGAGACAACTGTTTACACATAGGACATGGTTTGGTGTCAAAAACCTGAGGTGTAAAGTACTGCATAGATCTACAGAAAATAAACAGTAGATCTGAAACTGTCCACCTCATGGCCACCCAGCTGCTGCTGCTGAATGGCTAGGACAGTTGGCCTTTGACACCTTATCCTACCGACCCACTCCCTACCAGAAATGAACTTATCTCTAGGTTGCATATTTCAAAGACACCCAGTGCCAATGGGCTCAAACTCATGATGAAACATGAAATATTAACATCTGTGTCTGGCTCAACATTTAACAGTAACCAATGACCTGAATGAAACGGAAAGAAACGGAAATGTGGGACCAGGGAGATATGGTTAAGAGAACAAGTTTTTCTTCCAGAGTTCCAGCACCCACATGACAACTCACAACCGTCCCTAACTCCTTCACTTCTGGGAGACCTCACACTCTCTAGCCTCTAAGAGCACCAGACACTCACGTGGCACACTGATATACACACTTAAAAAAAAAAAAAAAAGAAAAGAAAAAAAAGACAGGAAAATACACACTAATTACACAGCTTTTCCTTTGAAGGTAAAAATTTTATTTTTGAGGAACTTGTTACTGCACATTTCAGAGAGAGCTATGTAAGAAAGCAAAAATGTTCTCCCCTCATCCTAGGAATAAATAAGGGCATAAAATTTCGTCTTAAATCATGACACTTGGAAGTTTAGCACCAGCATCCAAAATGAACAACAAAGGAAAAAGAGCATTTACTATATATTTCAGATTTCTTTGGTTGGGGCAATCCCCATGTGGTATTAATATTTCTTCTTTTAATTCATATTACCAAAACAGTAAAAACCAGGAAAAAAATATAAAGCTAGTGGCTGCTGAAACTGGGGAGGCCGCTCTCCTGCGTCTGTGCAGGTTCCCGGGATGCAGCTTGATGGACACTTGCTGGCTCATTCCCTTTGTGGTTGTTGGTTTCGTAGAGAATAGCAGTAAACATTCTAATGTCCAAATCTTGGTTAGTCTTCCATTTTATTGCTTAGATGTTTCTTTGGTGTTGGTAAGGTCGTGGGTGTGCTTTTTGCCTTGTTTTTGAATGGTCATTAATTCTTAAGGTCACCTGGAATTAAAAAAAAAAAAAAAAAAACCTTAGCAAAAGTGATATACAATGACCAAAAGTTAGGACAAACAGGCAAAAATCACGTTCATACAATTCAAAAATTATTTGCAAGGCTCTAAACCAAGTATGCATCTTGCACAGGTAAAACAGGATGAAAATTCTTACTTTTGGTGAAATACGTTTATAAAGCAGGCGTCAGTACACAACAATGTACATGAAAAGCCTTGAAGGATGCCACCTGCAACCCAGTGTTGTGAAAGGCAGAACAGGGGGGTGGGGTGGGGTGGATGGTGGACCACGGACAGACGGGACTCTTGGGGCTTGCTGGCTATAGCCTGACTACACACAACGAGTGGGTTAGTGTAGTTCTGAATGGGGACTGTGTCCATTCTGCCTAGAGGACCAAGGGATGCTGCTGCCACCTGGCACAGCAGTGTGCTCTCTGGGAAAGCCAACTCCAATCCCACAGCATTGCACAGGAAAGCTCATTATGAATCCCAAACTGCACTCTCAAAAATGGCATCGACAGAGTGGGTTTTACAGTAGACAATGTTAGCAAGAAATCCATAAAAATCAGTTAGAAGGGCGACAAGTTAAAAACCTGGGAATGAACCAGGTGTGGTAGCACATGCCTGCAATCTTAACACCCAGACCAGCATGGACTGACTACACAATGAGCAGTAGGCCACCTGGATCTACAGAATGAGCCACCAGCATGGACTATACAATGAGCAGTAGGCCACCTGGATCTACAGAATGATCCCTGTCTGTCGACCTCTCTGCCCTCCCCCGCCAACCAAGACAAAGCCCAAAACCAAAATCAAGTATGGTATAAACTTTTAACCTAACGCTTGGACAGCTGCAGTTTCCTGGCTACATTTCAATCTACACGAGTAAGACAGAAAACAGGTGGTCCTCACACTGGATGCTCTTCTTCATTCCGTTCCAATACCTGTGTCACTTCAAGCACTCCTGTGACAGCCCTAGCCATCTGAGTCTGTTCTGCTCTCCCAACCACCAGCGGCCATCAATGAGGCAGAGAGTAAACTGCTGAATCTCTAGTCCCCCAGCAGGCCAGAGCTGCAGGGGCCTTACTAGATCTCAACTACACTGCACTGCCACAAAATAAGTAACGCTGATCAGATGGTCAGAGAAAACCAAGCTTGCGCTGCAGGTAACAATCTCCTGGTTTGGAACCTTTAAATTACCAAGCTGAGCCCAGTGTGCTGGTGCATGCTTGCAGTCCTTGATCAGAGGTCAGACAGCCGGAGCTACACTGTGAGACTCTTGTTTGCTTGTTCTTTGGGGCAGGGCTCTCTATCCGGAGCTCTAGCTGTCCCAGAACTCAGTCTTCTATGGGCTAGGAATAAAGGTGTACATCAGCACACCTAGCTACTAAAAACTTGTCATAAAAACCAAAACAAAACAATGACATTGACTAGTAGGTGTCAGAACAACACAGGTTTTCCTATGTGTACTTGCTGGGGAAATGCCTGCCACACAAGAATATTCTAGTGCCTGCCACACCAGAATAGAACAATTAAGAATCCCAGCAGTCACGGGTATCCTGTACAAGACAGAGGCAGGAGTCTGGTGGCCAGTGAATCTAGCAATGGACTCAGTGAGACCCCATCTCAACAAGGGAGTAAGAGGGAAAAGTGACCTCTGCTTTCTACACAAACACACAAAAGTGACTGTCGAGCCAGGCATGTGGGCACAAGCCCATAAACCCAAGCACTTAGGAAACTTGAAATAGGATGGTTTCAAGTTCAAGGGGGCAAGTACCAGGCCAGCCAGGGTTACAAAGCAAGACCTTGTCACAAAACACCACCAACACATGCATAAAAAAAAAAACCAGGCAATGGGGTGGGATACAACTCAATGGTTAAGAGTGTAAGTTCATCCAGAGGTCTTGAGTTTAGTTTCCAGTACCAACACTGGGAGGTTCCTAACTACCTATTCCAGCTCCAAAGGATCTGAGAGCCTCTTCTAGATTCAGTGGGCACTCACACTCACATATCCCCACACATATATATTAATTTCAAAAAAATAACACTGCCTAAACAAACAAATACAGATGATAAAATGGGGTCAACAAGTTGGCTCAGTGGGTCAATGTGCTTGCTGTGTAAGCCTTCTGTGTTCCACTCCCAGACTCCATGGTCAAAAGTTATCCTCTGACATCCACACACGACACAAATAAAAATGTGCATAAATGAAGGCTATCTTTGAAAGTGGAGATCATTAAACCCGTTTATCTCCTTATTTATACCTCAGCTTACTCAAATGGGGTCAATGCCCCCCCCATATATATATACATACTGTGCAGCCAACCACGCCCACTCCCTCACATCTGAGGCACAATGGAGACCACAGATGGACACGGTAGAATCAAAGGTGCTACCGAGAGAACAAGGCTCACCCTGCTGGTGGTGAAGGTGCCCGGGGGCCAGGGTCACTCGGCACTGCTCTGCTCAGCGGCTGGAGCGGGGTTCTCAGTTGGTGCTTCACCTGCCTTGGTCTGAAACAGCACAACCAGAATTAAAATCCTTCAGGACTGTGTGGTAAAGGGTACAGGTCTCACAATACAACTTTCTCACCTAAGAAGAAAACAACAATCAAGATTTCCACTTCTCTTGTATAAGTCAGAGATTAAGTGGCTTCTAGTTGGCCAATAAATACCCCTCTCCCCAGAGTACGTGGCGCATAATTACTGTCACTCTGTGCTGGCTCACCATCGATTCCTCCTCTACTAACTGCTGTCCTTCATCCCATTGTGAGTTCCCAATCACACTAGTGTTCTTCCTCCAGAGACTGTTAACAAGCTCACTATAGGCAGACAATTTGCTACAGATGGATCCTAAGCACAATGCTGTGCTTTTACGTGTCCAGTTTCACACACAGCAAGACCATCATTAGGATGATAAAGATGATGGCACAACTAAGATCATCTGGATTCGGCCCTCCTGGCTGCTGGCTTTACCTCTTTGCCATCTTGTGAAACAGTGTTCAGGGGGCGGGGGCGGCGTCGATAGTTGTAGGGGCGTCGGAATCCACGGCGAGCAGACGGCTGGTTTGGACCATTGGCCGCTTGCTGATTCTCTTTATCTTCAGCCTCTCCAATAGCAGGGGCAGGTCGTGGGCGAGCAGGTCCCCTAGAGCAGGGAATAGACATTACATGCGAACTCATACGGTGTGCATGCAGGCAATGTGTGAACTGGGTAGGGGTGAGGGTGGGGATCAAAGACACGGGGTTGCTTCACTATTGAGTAAGTGACGAACAAGAACTCGCTCAATGAGTCATCCACAGACCAGATCTGCAGATGCGGATGGAATAAGTCTTGAGGGAAAAACCTTACTTCTCCATTATTCTGCCGCTTCCCTTGTTCACACATTTGCAGTAAACAAGCACACAGTAAATACAGAGTCCTACAAGGCCCTCTGATAGACACCTAGGGCAGGGAAATGAAGAAAGAAGGGTGGCCCATCCGCCACAGAGGATGACCCAAGCCAAGACCAATACTCTTACTGAATTAACCATGTAAAGGAAGGTCCTGGTACAAATCCTTCCCCAGTGTATTTTACTTTTGTTTGACTAAATCCTTATTGATAAATTAGAAGGTACAGGTTGAGTATCCCTAATCCACGAATTCACAACACTGAATTTGAAATTTTTGAGTGCCAAAATAACATTTAGAATACCTACTAATACCTTGGGAGCATTCTGAATGGGGATTTTCCAGTTAGCATGTTCAACTAGTGAAACACACAAGAATGTTCCTAAGTCTGAAAGTGGGAACAGTTCTCTGGTACCCAGGTTTTAGATAGGGGAGGGGCAACATGTAAGACACACCATCCAGGAAGTCCCATTAGATCCCCTCACCCCAAGGGTGAGAAGGAACTGACAAAGGCCTCTTATTATGAAGCTTCCACAGTGAGATGGCTTTTGGAGAGCACCTGCACTCCAAACGCATGACCACTGGCCTCCTTTCCATCCTGGAGCCTGTGGTAAATCTGCCCTCTGACCTATTCACACGTGCTGAGGACACAGGCAAACACTATTTAAGGATGAAAGCAAACAAAACAGTCACACAAAGGATCTCAGGGAGCCCAGCCCACATGAGGCTTCGGGAGAGAAAAGGCACATTCAAATGGCCCGCCCTTCCCTAACAGTAACGACAGTGGGACTGACACTGGGATCTAAGTTTCACAGACCATTTGTTCATTTAAACTTCTTACCACTGAATGACTCCACCCGTTCTGACATTTTGAAACAGGGCCTCTCACTGTTAAGCCCTGACTGGTCTGGAACTCAAGAGATCCACACATCTCTGCCTCCAAGCTTGAATGGCCTTTTAAAAAAAATGTCCAATGTACAGATCTGAAGGCTACAGCAGAGTCCAGAAACATGCCAAAGGACATACAACTACTGAGCTCTTCAAGTCTTCAAGGGCAATGTGTTCCACAGCCAGATTCAAAAGCCCCAGAAGACTACCTTGATGATTAAAATATTCAACATCTCAATTTCCCTCCACTGCTGGCACATTAAACTGTCCACCAGGTAACTCTCATTTTGTTTAACTTAGTAAAAGTTATGCACTAAAAGCCAGACATGGTGTCAGACACCTATAATTCCAGACTTGGGAGGTCAAGGGGTAAGGCTATGAGGAGCCAAATTTGAAGCCAGCCTAGACTACACAGTGAACATGAGGTTAAGACTTGGCTATGCAGTATAACCCTGTGTCAAAACAAACAAAAGTGGAAAGATTAAGTTATTTATCTGACTTCAATTTGCAAGCCACGGGTAAAGCATCTTAACATTGTGTGGAGCCCTGGGCTCCATCCATACCAAAAAAGGAAGGAAGGAAGGAAGGAAGGAAGGAAGGAAGGAAGGAAGGAAGGAAGGAAGGAAGGAAGGAAGGAACTTTCAGGCTTGTAACCAAAGCCATCTTCCAATGTAACCCTCCTCCACTCTGCTGCCCCTCATACCTGCGGAACCTTGGGCGGTAAGTTGGATTCCGATGAACCTGGAGCTGCGCTCCTTCAGGGACTCCGTCCTTCATCTCTCCAATCTCACCAGCCTAGAGAGGGCAACGACAGCTGGAAATGAGTCAGGACACAGGGCAAGAAGGGTCAAAGCACATAGTCACGTGCAAATCAGAGTCAAGAGCTTTGTCACCGGGCCCGATGCTCCAGTAACAGCAGCCCGCTACTTACTGGTCATTTTTATGAATGACAGCAAGGAAAACTCATTCCTACTGCAAAAGCCTTTCCCCTATTCCTTAGCACAGAGCACCCACCTCCCCCGATAAGGTGAAATCCGACTCTTTCAATGCTCAAGGGACTATTTCAGGGGCTCGCTCATGGCTCTCTGGCATGGCTCTCACCTTGCACGTGCAAAGAACTGGTTCGTTCTCAGGACCAAAACCAAACCAAACAACTTATTTTATAAACGGAAATAACAAGTCTATTTCTGAGCAATGGGACATGTTTAATGGCTTCAAACTCAGATGTGCTGAGCCATTAACTTACACTGGTTTCCCACCCATGCCACTGTGGTAACAAGATCATGTCTGTGTTACCCATGGCCAGAAGTAGCCGCGGGTAGGACTGAAATGCCTGGTAGGATTTAAAGTCTGGGTTCAACTCAGTACTAACAAATCTCAAGCATAACTTTACCTATAGCTCTTCTTTGTAACTTTCCCATCTGCTCCTGTCAGTATGTGTTGTTTATTTGGGGGACGAGGTAGGGGAACAAGGCATTGCAATGCAGCCTTGGCTAGCCTGAAATATGGGATCTTCTGCCTCAGTCTACCAAGTGCTAGAATTACAAGTGTGCAGCCACCACCCCAGCTTAAAAATTCCTAGGCTAGGCTTAGTGATACAGTTTAGTGGATGCTGGTACCTGGCCTTGCACCCAGGGACCCACATGATGGAAAGAGTGCTCGGCCAGCAAAGTGCTTTTCTTGCAAGCTGGAGGACCTGAATTTGGATCCTAGTACTAATGTAAAAAGCCAGGCAAGCATCTGTAATCCCATAATTAGGGAGGCAGAGACAGGCAGATCCCTGGAGCTCACTTGCCAGTCTCAATGAGATTCCCCTGTCTCAAAAATAAGGTAGAGGGGGCTGGAGAGACTGCTCAGAGGTTAAGCGCAGTGGCTGCATCCACCCACAGCTACCACTAAGTCCAGTTCTGGCCTCCAGTGGTGCCAGGCATGCATGGAAAACAGACAAACACGAAGGCAAAACTGCTCCCAACACACACACAAATTAGTAGTCAAGGAATAGTAATGTAGACATCAGCAGAGGGGGGGCGCCTGTCTTTGACCTCTGACCTCCACATATCCATTCACACTCACAAAACAACAACCCATCCCAGCCAGGCATGAGAGCACAAACCTGTAACCCCAGGACTCCGAAGACTGAGGCAGGGACATTACCTTAAATCCAAGGTCAACCTAGGCTATACAATGAGACCCTGTCTCGAAAACAAAACACTTGGCTCCTCCTCAGATCCAACCACCAACCCTCCACCCTTTTAGGATAAAAGCAGCATCAACATTCCCGTCACTCACCAGCACGCCCCCCACTAGCCTCCGTGTGATGAATTTCTACTTTTACCCCATGAGGGCTTCATGGTCACATCTGTTCTCAACACGTGAAATAGGCTAAGCCTATTCATCTCTATCACTGATTAAGGCATGTCCGCCTCTTGAAACCACACCCACCTCTTTCACTGTAAAACAACCACAAATGGTTATACAGAACAATCCTCAGACCACATTAGAGTTTCACCATGTGTCAATGTTCCTTACAGCAGGGTCTACTTAGAATCATGTATTAAATTAAGCTTATTTATATTTCTTTTAGGTTGGGACGTTTAATCTCTCTTGGCTTTCCTGATCTGAGCACCTAAATTCGGGCTATGTTACATTTAATTCATGTACCTCTGATAGGAAAGGTCTCCACTGAATGTTCCATAAAACAGCCCCTTCACAGCCTGTCCATGTCCAATCCCTCAAAGGTTTCACATGTTCACATATGTATGGACTCCAGGGTTTCCATTTTGGTGATCGAGCTACAATCTGCTACATTCATTACTGGCCAATAGGAACTCCTGCATTGTGGCTCACAGCCTGCTGACAAGTCTCCAACATTCTTTAGATGCTTCCTGCCCTTTTGCCACAGGATGTTCAAAGGCTTGCAGTGTTCTTTCCAGACCCAGCTCAGAAAAAGCAAACATTTCTAGAAAGGGGCTTCTTTCTGTCCAAGAACTGAACCCAGAAATAACCAAGTAGGGATGAGCCGTGCTCAGCTCTCCTAGGGTGTCCTTGCTTTGGGGTCTTTAAGTAGCAATACATTCACAGTCCTAGCAGCTTTGGCAGTGAGTTCTTCATGTTACATAAGGGGCAAGTGGGACCAGGGGAAAGTCAGCACCATAAAAAACAAATCAAGAAAATACTTTCTCATGATTCTACACTGGCTACAGAGGACCCAACCCCATCACCGGCAACCGGCAACCGGCAACCGTCAACATCAAAGAGCACACTGCCTCTCTTCCCACTTCCTGACACATTACAGCTTCTCACCACAACACTCCAAGTTATCAAACCCAACCACCAATGGCGGCCTCATTTCCTCTAACTCCTCAACTTCCCTCCGTTCAGCTACTCTTGACCGCTGACTACTTTTTCTGCCAACCTTGCTGTGGAGGAAAGAAAGACTTTCAAAACAGTTTCAGCTTCCTCCTGAAACTCAACCTTTCTTTATTAGTCTCACATTTTTGCTGAAGTCCACAGAGGTAGCAAACTCCTCACACTACATACCAGGGAGCCTCACTTGCTCTGCCAGGGCAGTATGTGACTCACATGGACACTGTCCACAGTGGTGCGTCTCCGTGATTTGATCACTGTCCCCTACAGTCTGGTCATCAAGAGCAGACAATGTCATCATGCCTATTCTTGGCTTCATCACGTTTACAGGAAGACAAAGGTAAAGGTCCTTACCCAGCTTTAGCAGAATGACGTGCCTTCCTCAAGATCTCAGCCCCTCACCTGCACTCACCATCCCAACCACACACACCTGCACTTAACAGTCTCAACACTCCAATAACAACTAAGACAGGCAGAGTCACTGTGTCATTATCTTTGTGTGGGGGTGTTATGTATTTGCTTGCTTTCCTTTTTTTTTTTAAATTAGTTTCTCAAAGCAGGGTTTCTCTGTGTAGCCCTGGCTCTTAGAACTCTGTACACCTGTACACCAGGCTGGCCTCCAACTCAGAAGCTGTATTAAAGCCACGGGACAACACGCCTGACTATATGGTATGTCAGTATGGGTACAAAAGTACGACAGGATACCTGTAGAGGACAGAGGTCAACCCGAGGTGTGGGTCCCTGCATCCCACCATATCTGAAACAGGGTCTTTTGTTGTTGGCTACTGTGGAAGTCAGACTAGCTGGACTGCAAGCTTGTATTTCTCCTATGTCCCCAATCTTGCTGTAGGAGAACATGCACGACACACCAGGCTACGACCAGCCTTACATGGCTTCTAAGGATCTGAGCCTGGATCTTCATGCTTGCACGGCAAGTGATTGATTGGAGAACCATAACTGGAATCACCAAAGTTGCTAATCTTAAAAGAACATTCAAATCTATTTGTAAGAAAAGCAACAAAAACATGGAAGCCACACTACTCGGTTCATAGGCCACGGGTTAGAGGACGGATTTCAAACATCTGCCACCTGGAAGGTGCCACCGTGGTGCGTCCTCTTCTCATCAATGAATCTTAAGTTCAGGGGGCTCTATTTGTCAAGTGCATACACACTACTACACTTGAAAACAGACGATTTGGTCACTGATAAATGGCCTTTAGCATTACACAAACGGCACCACTCCACAAAACTCCACTCTGCGGTAGGTGTCAAAGCCTTTTCTATCTGGACTTTAGTAGTTTATAGCTACCCTAGAGATCTACCTTCATTAATTTATTTATTTAAAAAAAATAATTTACAACAATGACGTTAAAGAAGCCTAGTTACACTTACAAAGTTTTCAATTTCGGCTGTTGATCCACTTAAGGAGACTTAGTAATTATGTACCAGCACTGCAATAGTATGCATGAAAGACTCGATGCAGACAACCAACATGTGTTTTTGTTTTCAACACGGAATGGCTATGGTCAGCATGCATTACAAACAACCACATGCAGTTATGTGTTGCTGAGAGTAAAGCAAGCTACTAGAAAATCAGCATTAAGTCACACGATACTCCATGACACAAAGGAATCGTTGTGCTCTGGTCTTCAGTATGAACTATACTTTAAATTTTAAGGATATGGGATAGAAGCACTATGGTCTCACAAGTATGCTTACACATGCCAACTAGTGTGGTTACCCCCAGGCAGTCACTGCTAAAGCATCATAACCAACGTTACAACCCAGAGACTGCTCTTGCCCTCATTTCCTAGAAGCCCCAGGGTTACCCGGAAGACGTCTACTATGCCCCATGTACCCAGTGTTCCCATATATCTGACAACTACTTGTTATTTTTAGCACATTTGTCAGGGGCAGCTGTTGGGAGAGTTAGAAGGGGAAAAACAAGAAGCCTTGTAGAGTACAACAGTCATGCATGATGGAAATGGGAGGAGTGCAGCAAAGAGACTGAACACAATGTTCCATCAAAACATTTGGGGGAGGGCAGGGGGTGGAGCCCAAATGCACTAAGGAGAAAAGAGCTGTAGCTGGTAATAAATAAAGACCCAAGTTCCCTGGGGATCAAACAGTGGCGTAAAGTTCATTACAGATTTACAACAGCTCTCCCCATTTCCAGCACTCCATCCAGCTTGCCTGAAAACCAGCTCTCTCCTCTAATTTGATACTTCACATTTTCCATTGTGTTGAACCTTCATGTTTTATGGAACGTTCTAGTAAAGGCATTCAGTGCCTCCACTTCACGGGTGAACAATGATTTCCCCCAAAATTTGAAATAACCAGCAGCAGAAACAGGATTAAAATTTAGACCCTTTGAGAGCAGAGTCCCAAGTTCTTAACACGTATCGTCTGTATCAGTATGTAGCAGACACAGGCTAGCCCTGAACTCAGACTCCTCCTGCATCACCTGACTTGGTATTCTTAACAAGTCTACAAACTAGACACCCTATCCTATTGTCTCCTATGATATGCATGTTCATGATGCATTTCAAAAAATGTTTCTATGGGTGTTCTCAACAGGCAGAGTGGGGGCCTTGGCTCAGCTTTGATAGGATAGGAAGCTGCAGGCAATGTGTTACTTCCGGTAGCTGGAGTTGGAGGAGGAGGAGGAGGAGAAGGAGGAGGCAGAGAAGGACGAAGGGTGAGGACTGCTGAGGAAGAGTCCCAGGTGCATTTTACCTGCATTCTGTTGGGATGGGGAAAGACCCGTGAGCGACGGTCAAAGGTCTGTCCCACGTGGTAAGGCGGGAAACGCCGCTGCCGGTACGGAGGGCGATACTGGGGGCGGCGCAGCTGATTCCTGGCCCCAGAGAACTGCCCATCTGTGGCAGGGGGCTCAAATCCTTCACTGCTGCCGCTCCCTTCCTCCTCCTCCTCCCCAGCGTACTAGCGAAGCAAAGAAACAGAGTTTCAGAAGAAGTTACAGCCAGGCAAGAACCAAAGAATACCACTTAGGATGGCTATCACCAGGAAACACCCACAACTCCCAGCGCAGTGACCGTTCATTGTGCAGACACGACACTGTGCAGACACAAGGCATGCAGACCAAGTGATTGCCTGGGATAAACTACATGGAGATTCAAGTAGATCTATGCAGATAACATACTGAGCAGCAGAAAAGCAAAAGCAATCAATCTATTACCAAGTCTAATGGCACTGAATTAGAACAGCAGTGTTACACTGTTTGGCTCCGTTCATGTGTCTCCCAAATTTACCCAGCTGGGAAAGTCAAGAACTGTCAAGAAAAAAAACTTTATGATATCATCAGTAGATTTGACCTAGGCAGTATGCTTCCTAGGGCATCTGGGTCTCTGGAAGCCTTCCCAGGGCAACAAAGGAAAAGCACTCCCAAAACTCCACTAAGATGCTCACCTCTCACCAGCGTATGGTGGGATCTTCCAGTATACAATGGCATGCAGTCTCTCAAAAGCCCAAACACAAAACAGACCAAGAATCCGACTATCTTCTAATAAACCATACATCAGACACGCAAGGGTGCAGTGCGATGCCAGTCTGCTCTCTCAATTTGCACAGGATTTTCAACTGAAATGTTTGATCACTATGTAGTAAGTTATTTTATGTTAATTTTAATTTCTAATAATAGCAGTATCAATATCATCAACAATTCTGGGATCTTTTAACACCAGCTAAGCCTAAAAGTGGGTTCAAACATCAAAAAGCTCAAGGGCTAAGATCTATTATGCCCTTCCCTTTGAATATCTAGAAATAAGGTTTAACTATATTTTAATGGCAGTAAATCTTAACACTAACCATTTCTAAATATAGAACTTAAAGGGGAATTAATTACTTATTTTGCCTATTCTCTATTTTAACTAATTAAACTAACAACACCCCTCAAGAATTTATCTCAAATCTCACTTAAGCCAGTCTTACAAGAAATACCTGTAATTCCTTTAACATGAATGAAAATAAGCTAATGACCAGTTTCTCTTAGAGGATGGGTTTAAAGATTCAGAGTCTCCACACCAAACCCACACACCCAACTAAACTCCCCACAGAACTGGTTTTTTCTAACTTCACAAAGCAACAGCACACTGTTCTCTGGCGTACCGGGGTGTAACTCAAAGGCCCATCCGTGTTAGGCGAGCGCTCTACCACTTAGCTATAACCCAGCCCTCTTTTTACTTTTCATTTTGAGACAGGGTTTCACTAAGTTACTCAAGCTGGCCTTGAACTCACTCTGTAGCCCAAACTGGGCTTGAACTTGCGATCCTCCTGCCTCAGCCTCCCGAGTAGCTGGGATTACAGACCTGCGCCACCAGGCCTGGCTCATTCTACTCTTTATAAAACCTGTATGAATAAATGATGCATAGTTATGTAAAGATATATTTTACATAGAAAATATTCACCACATCAATTTCTGAAGGCACATCTCCTAAGTTCATGCAGCTAAATCTTTCATAAAGACCTTTGTGAGGCAATCAGAATAGCACCACCACTGCTGACTATAGTCAGGAAAATTTAAGACCTCCACATAGATAAAAAACTATATCTTTTCCAGTTCTTGGAGGGGAAAAATTTTTACCTAAGATTTTCTATGATGTTTACTTCTGAATTGACCTAGACATCAAACAGATCACAGCTAGAGATCTGGGACATGAACAAACTTAACATCACCATAAAGTAAACTGCCCACCCCTGCCTATCCATCAAAGCTTAAATGGTATAGTCTGGGGGCCTCAAGTTGATACTGGGGCTCTTTCTCAATCGCTCTCCACTGTGTTTGTTGAGACAGGGCCTGTCACTGAACCTGGAGCTCATAAGTTCAGCTAGGCTAGCCGGATGATGGGCTCCAGGGTTCCACTTGTCTCTGCCTCAGCACCCAGCAGGTGCTGCTCAGGTGTTCACATTTATACGGCAGGCACTCTGAACTTTCTCCCCAGCTGTAGTGACTTTTTTAAAAATCAAAAAGAGTAAGAAAAATATAAACAGAATATATAAACAGATGTAAAGAATGCAATAAGATCAAGACGGGACATGGGACAGGAACACAGGACAGTTTGGAAAGCAGAGACACTTAGGAAAAGATGTACATCCATCAAAATGGAGCCAAGTATTCTCATCTGAAGATTTCCCTTTTCCATTTTTTTTTTTTTTTTTTTTAGTTGGGTTTTTATTAAAAACCCTTGTTGG